GTTCTTAAGTTGAATCTGTATGTAAGTCGGAACTGGTGGTCAGTTTCAGCAGCAGCTGAATCTGGACGCCAGTTCCGACTTACATACAGATTCAACTTAAGAACAAACCTACAGTCCCTATCTTGTACATAACCCGGGGACTGCCTGTATGGCAAAACACGACCTTGGCTAACAGAGGAATCTAAAAATAAAAAAAAAGTCCTACAAAAAGTGGAAATTACAAAGGATTAATATAAGCAAGTAACATAAATACGCAGAGGCAAAATTAGAAAGGCCACGGCACAAAACAAGATCAAACTAGCAGGAGACAAAGGGTAACAAGAAAATATTTTACTAATACAGGGATAGGCAATAAGCAGCCTGTGGGCTGAACATGGTTCACCATGGTTAGCCCTTGAAGGGACGCCAGATGGTTTATTTACCTGCATATCTGCAGGTACAGTCGCTCCCAGCTCCTGTTGGCTTCCTGCCGCTCTCATTTGCTGGGAACAGTGATCTGCAGCCAATGTGCACTGCGAGCAGCTTTATCTGCAGAAGTGCAGATAAATAAAGGATCTGGCAGCCTGCCAGGGGCTAACCCTGGTGAACCACATCGAGCACAGAAGCTGCTTACCTAGCTCTGCATGAATATGTTAAAATCAAGTAGAAGACTAAGGACAGGGTACGACCATTACTCAAGGAGAGTGGAAAATAATAACAGAAAACGTGGAAATAGCAGAGGTGCTTAATGACTTCTTTTACCAAGAAGGTTGGTGGTGACTGGACGCCTACCAATGAATGCCAGTGAAAATGAGGTAGGAAAGGCTAAAAAATGAGGTAGGATGAGAGGGAAAGAACAAGTTAAAAATTGCTTGGACAAATTAGATGTCTTCAAGTCACCAGGGTCTAATGAAACACATCCTAGAATATTCAAGGAGCTGACTGATGAGACACCTGAGCCATAAGTAATGATCTCTGAAAAGGTATGGAATATGGGAGAGATTCCTGAAGATTGGAAAAGGAAAAATATAGGGCCAATCAATAAAAAGGGAAATAAGGACAACCCAGGGAATTATAGACCAGTCATCTTAACTTAAGGTGATAAGTAACAGTTATCATGGATTTGTCAAGAATAAATGTCAGAACAAACTGGTTGCTTTTCTTGACAGTGTAACAAGACTTGTGGATGGAAGGAAGCAGTAGATGTTTTATATCTTGACTTCAGTAAAGCTTTTGATAATGGCTTGCTTGACCTCCTCAACCAAATTAAGGAAATGCAACTGTAACAGAAGCTGAATCATGCGCTAAGTAAAAAAAAAAACAAAAACATTTTAACTGTATCGTGACATTTTCCCAAGAAAGAGTTGTTCAGTTAGCTACAAGCAAGCAGAGGTGGGGAATCTTTTGAGTCAGAGGCTGCTGACCAGAGTTCCTTCTAAGCTGTGTGGCAGCACAGCTTCATGGGTGATTAATCAGCCCATCTCCCCCCTCCCCAAGTCAGTCAGCCCCATGCACTGAGCCTCTGACTGGGCGGGGCTGATTAATCACATGTGAAGTTGTGCTGCTGCGCTGCTTAGAATAAACACTGCTGCTGACCCACAGAAAAATCAGTCGGGGGAGGATGGGACGGGACAAAAGTGAGAAATGGGGAAAAACCCTCACTATGGCCCTCAAATGAGGAAAAAGACACTCTCCAAATTCCCCTCGCACACCAGAGCCTGGGGGGGCCCAACCTAGATTGTGTGCGCTCCAGCCCCATGAGGTGGGGGTGGAGGGAAGGAGCACCAGCACAGGCTCACCAATGTTGAGGGGGGGGCCCCTGAGCCTCGGGGACCGGATCCAGACAAGCCAAGGGCCACATCCGGCTCCCAGGCCTGAGGTTCTGCACCCCTAGTTTAAGACATCCTGATCTGTTCTGTTTATTGCTATCAGTTTAATACCTTTATAATTTATTATTAATTCTAAGCATGAACCACACATTTTGTAGATTAATACTCCAACTTAGTGGTATCTTAAGAATTCAATGCACAGTTATCTATGGGATCATGATACTATACTTACCTAAGTGAATAGTAAAACTTTCCTCTAACTGTCTCTGCTCTTCATATAGTCTTCCATTTCCTTCTATAGATTCTCTCAGCTGATTAGGTTGAACCTTAATTTCCTCACTGAAATTAATAAAAATACATTTAAAAGCTCTAGGAGGTTTCCCATTAATGTTGTTCTTTTCAAAAGCAGAAATTTGTTTTTGGATGCCCTGATGCAAAATAACTTTGCCTGGTGGAACTTCAAAGCCAAAAAGCTGCGACATAATTTGCATCAAACAGAGTAGATTGCTGCAACCTTATAATTACATACACTGGTATGTCCCAGAGATTTCAAAATCCCAGGTCTATCCTGATCTGAGCAGAAGACACGGAATCTATTATAAGAAGGGGAGATGAGATTTAAGATTAACAACTGTTGAATTTCCCCTCTTAACCTAGCTGTTGAGAGCATCTATTGAATAATTCTAAAGTTCTTGAGTTTTATAACAAACAATTTGCTGAGGTTTTAAAATGAGGGTATTTATGGAATCTGAGCTTCAAATTTATATTGACAGGGTGGTAGGTCCTTAGTACATTTGAAAATCATGCACAATGTCTCAATTCAGAATGTACCCAATTTAGGTCCTACTTCTGTAAATGCTTATGGGTGGAGTAGTCTGAGTTTTAGGCATACTCTCAAGACTTTTCAAGATTGAGATTTTTACTAAATCTTACAAAAATTGAAGTTGTAATTTTTAAATTAAAACTTTACTTATGCTGAAACAGATATAGTTATCAAGTAAGTGCTAATACTGTACAGTATTTTACTATTTCAGCATTACACAGTTGAGAGGAGACTGAGAAGTGTTTAATGGTTAGTCTTAATTGTTTTGGAAGATGTTGTTTATATAAAGGAGAGAATAAAACTTAAATCTGTTTTTAAATATATACACTGTTGTTCAGCTTGATACTCAAGATTACTTTTTATCTTTCCTCTTTGAGATATTTATGTCTTAGTCTTCCTCTAATGTTGTAGAAGCACATGTGCTTTATTTGGATTTGGGTGAGATGCACTAAGCATGCTGGGAACAGTGTTTGGCTTTCACTGGGGAGTCCAGCAAGGGGAACTTAGTGTTGTTAATGCACCACAAAAATAAGTTGGTTCTTTGATATTCATTAAGAGTAAACTATGGTGGATTTTTCTTTTTTTAAAGGCATAATTGGAACCTTCCCTCAGTAAAGTGTAACGATTTTTAAGTACAGTCAGTCCCCGGGTTACGCGGATCCGACTTATGTCGGATCCGCAGTTACGAACGGGGTCCTCTCCCTGGTCTCCAGCAGACCAGGGAGAGGAAGCAAAGCGACGGAACACGCTGCCCGAGTGCTCCGCGGCTTTGCTCTACTTTGCTCCCCGTCCCCCTGGTCTGCAGACCAGGGGGACGGGGAGCAAAGTAGAGCAAAGCCGCGGAGCACTCGGGCAGCGTGTTCCGTCGCTTTGCTTCCTCTCCCTGGTCTGCTGGAGACCAGGGAGAGGACCCCGTTCGTAACTGCGGATCCGACATAAGTCGGATCCGCGTAACCCGGGGACTGACTGTACTTAAAAATCGTTACACTTTACTGAGGGAAGGTTCCAATTATGCCTTTAAAAAAAGAAAAATCCACCATAGTTTACTCTTAATGAATATCAAAGAACCAACTTATTTTTGTGGTGCATTAACAACACTAAGTTCCCCTTGCTGGACTCCCCAGTGAAAGCCAAACACTGTTCCCAGCATGCTTAGTGCATCTCACCCAAATCCAAATAAAGCACATGTGCTTCTACAACATTAGAGGAAGACTAAGACATAAATATCTCAAAGAGGAAAGATAAAAAGTAATCTTGAGTATCAAGCTGAACAACAGTGTATATATTTAAAAACAGATTTAAGTTTTATTCTCTCCTTTATATAAACAACATCTTCCAAAACAATTAAGACTAACCATTAAACACTTCTCAGTCTCCTCTCAACTGTGTAATGCTGAAATAGTAAAATACTGTACAGTATTAGCACTTACTTGATAACTATATCTGTTTCAGCATAAGTAAAGTTTTAATTTAAAAATTACAACTTCAATTTTTGTAAGATTTAGTAAAAATCTCAATCTTGAAAAGTCTTGAGAGTATGCCTAAAACTCAGACTACTCCACCCATAAGCATTTACAGAAGTAGGACCTAAATTGGGTACATTCTGAATTGAGACATTGTGCATGATTTTCAAATGTACTAAGGACCTACCACCCTGTCAATATAAATGGATAACTCTGGAGCTACACTACTTTATATCTGATGAAAAACTGAACTAAAGTGTCTGAAGTTGAGCACCCAAAACAGACCTCAGAATGATGAATGCTTGTTAAAAACTGACTGTTTCTAGCTCTTATGGTTGTGACAGATGTCTTTTCTTACTGAATATGCAAACAGGCTCTACAAATTGAAACTGATTCTCCTGTCATTTTACACAACTATTTATTGGGAGAAACTGACAGTAGTGGAGTCTCTGGTGGATTTTGGGTGGCACAGTAGTTAGCATATAGTTAGATGAAGTGGGGGAAGGGGATAGTGGTAAGGGAGCCTAGGCCCAACCAGTCCACTGGGCTCTGATCCAGGGCTCTAGGAGGATCAGCAGCATTGAACCCTAAGAGGGGTATGGGCCCTCTGCATTGTGCTTCCTACTACCACTATCTGCTTCTGATCCCAGATAAGGAAAAATAAAAAGGACACTGTCAGCCCTAACCAGGCTCAACATACAGTCCTGATGTTTCAGGGAGGCATCTCTAGCCCCTTTTTTAGGAGCATTCAATTATAGGTTTGCACTATTCCCCAACCTGCCCCTTCTGAGCTAGGATGCTAATTTTTCAACCCTGTCTCCAATTGGAGCAGGCTCTGCAAGGTTTGGGGACAGGTTATCGGGGCCCATTATTGTCCTTTAACCTCCTATGTTATGGTGCAGGGTTTGTACAACCCACCACATTCCTTTAGTTTTATTGGTGTTAGATTGATTGATTGATTTTTATATATATATATATATCAATGTCAGAGGCAAGTCAGGCCCAGTATTTCTAAGCAGCAAGAACTACCTATTCACTTCAGCAAGCCTTAACGATGAATATAGCCTTTGACGGTTTAGAGGTCAACTTTATTAGTTTTACACTGACAAATAAATGAGAAATTCTAGGATTGGGGTAGAGCTTGATGAGCATAACACTACTGATTTTTCTGTTTGACTCTTGCTCACTACAAACTCAATTTTGCTTTTTAATTATAAACTCCTGAATATGTATTATAAAAATGAACAGACAATTGAAAAGTACTCCTAAACATACTTTAAATTTATTCTCCTTGTCAATTTATAATCCTTAGAACACAGAGCTACACTAATGTGTTCTTGTTTTCCTTATCTCCTCTCTGACTTCAGTGGAAGAAGGCTCCATTCTCACCTTTCCTTTCTTCTCCACAAAGCATGAAATGCTGCCATGTTATCTCACTAAACACCACATCCCCCATAATCTTCTCCCAAGCAAGTCAACAGATCATGTTCCACACCTGTCTCCTCTTCTTGCTGGCTATGCCAATTTGCATATAAGTGCTTGTGAGCTCCATGCTGGTTCCTTCCCACCCCTGGCATGATGGAGCAATTAGGAACCTGCTGCAAGCATACTGCACACTAGGTGTAGGACCTAGTTCCCACAAGATGGGGAGCAAGAATTTGCCTCTACTACATATCCTAGTCTACGGTCAGAAAACCTTCCTTCAGCTTACCCACACCAGCAATCACAAAAAACTAGGATTTTTTCCAGTTGTTAAATGACATCCACCCAAGAATGAGCTAATTTCATTAAGAGTACACTTGGGGGCTGCACCCACTGCTCGATATGCTCACCAACCCCCCCTCTCTCTGGGGAGGGGTAGGTGTCTGGCTGAGGGGAGGATGCCAGAGAGGCTGGGGAAGAAAGTCTGGCCAGAGTGGGAGGGTGCAGGAGCAGGCTAGGAGTGCAGGGTCTCAATGGAAGGGATGAGCGAGGGTGTGTGAGGGAGTTGGGGGTGCAGGGATGGGGGAGGGCGTGTGGCTCCCACCTTCCTGAAGCACCAGGGAGGAGAGGGGTGGCTGCACGGCTCCCACTCAGTGGCACTGGGGGACAGGGGTGGCGGCGGGACATAGAGTGACGTACTGATGTCACTAATTATATGAGAGAGAGATATTAAATCAAAACCTGTAGTATGAATTAAGTGTTCGTAAATCCTACACATTCTGTGATACAGCAGAATATCTTTAAATAACTCAATGCATTCTGGAGCATATTATTTTAAAAGTATTTCTAATGTAAAGGGTCAAGTAGGACGACAAAACATAAGGACATTATTTAAGCTCATGGAAAGTGTGTTTTACATTTTCTCTCTTCTATAAAAGAATGTGTTGATTCTATTATCAGTGGCTTTAAGCCTTTTAATATATATTTTGAATTTAAATTACTATTAGATAAAAATTATTTTAAAAATCCTGTAAAATTACCATAGTTCAACAGAAGAATATTTAGACTGAGAACTTTACAACAGAGATAAATACCTGATTGAGGTGTTGTTGGGATTTTTTAGATCTTGATAAAGTTTTATCACCCATTCCTGATACTCCTGTTTTTGGATGGCTGTGGACTGTTTTAGTTCACTGGTCCATTTATTCTCCAAAACCTAAAAGTAGACACCATTCCAACCAATTCATATTTCTTTAAGACAGTTCTTTGCATAATTTATTCCAATTCAGTTAACTTAATTTACCTGTTGAGATTCAAAATGTTTAGCAGCCAATGCATTTACATCTTGATCCGTTAGTGACTTTCCTAGTTCTTGCATCACGTTATCCATTTCTGCTCCTTGTCTAAAACACAAGCCAAATATTTGGACCAACTTACAAAATGTGTTATGGTTCTATTTTCACATACTTCAGAAAAAATGAACGGAACAGGACTTAGTAATCTATCCCATGTCATCCACTCTCATCTTCTAGCAGAGATGTTGGGATATCCAGAGCATGGAGTAGCATTCCTAATCATCTTAGCTAACAGTTATCGATGGACCTATCCACCATAAACTTATCTACTGTAATTCTCTTTTGAACTCAGTTATACTTTTGGCCTTCACAATATCCCCGGCAATGAGTTTCACAGGCTAGCTGTGCATTGCGGGAAGTACTTTCTATAGTTTGTTTTATATATGCTGCCTATTAATTTCACTGGGTGATCCCTAGTATTCCTGTTATGTGAAGGGATAAATAACATTTTTCAATCATCTTGTCTGCACCATTCACTATTTTATAGTCATCTCTTTTTCTAAGCTAGCTAATCTCACTCTTTCTACTTTCTCCTCAGGTGGAAGCTTTTCCGTATTGTTAATCATTTTTGTCATCCTTCTCTGTACTTTTTCCAACTTTAATATTTTTTGAGATGGGACGACCAGCATGGGTATACCATGAATTTGTGTAGTGGAATTATATATTTTCTGTCTTATATTCATCCCTTTCCTAACACTGTTAGCTTTTTTGACTGTCACTGCACACTAAGCAGATGTTTTTCAGAGAATTATTGACATGACTTCAAGATCTCCTCGAGTGGTAACAGTTAATTTAGACATCATCATTGTGTATGTGTACTTGGAATCATATTTTTCAATGTGCATTACTTTGCATTTATCAACATTATATTTTATCGGCCATTTTCTTGCCCAGTCACGCAGTTCTGTGAGATCCCTTTGTAATGTTTCAAAGTCAGTTTTTGACTAAACTATGTTGGGTAATTTTGTATTATCTGCAAACTTTCCTACCTTCCTTTTTAACCATTTTCTAGATCCCTTTATAAATGTTGAACAGCACTGTAGCTTCCTTAGTACATGTCTACACTACGGGATAAGGTCGAATTTAGATGCTAATTCAAACCCTGAAAGATCGGCAGTGGCAGCTTTGATCTTCTCTGTAGTGTAGACCAGTGTTTCTTAAACTTTTTAAGACCAAGGAACACCAAACAATTTTTTTTTTTTAAAATGATCAGGGCTCGCCGAAATGCAGTGAGCCCTGCTCGCCAGCCGTGCTGTCCAGCAATCTGCGCATGCGCAGATCATTCTGCACACACGCAGATTGCCGTAACCCGGCTCTTCCGGGTTACAATCTACTCGCCACGGGCGAGTAGATTGTATAATTTGTCGAGCCCGGTTTATGAGGAACACCAAGACTTTTTGTTGAGCGCAAAAGAAAAAAAAGCTTAGCCCTTGAACACCAGACGACACTTTTACTGACAACAACAATTTTTGCTCACTGCCCTGTGAAGCCTTCTAGACTTCTGCCTTTTTGTTAGGGAAATGTAATTTACTCTGTTTACTCATATTGGTGGAAATTATAAATTCATTACCTTATCAAGCACAGGTTAATGTCAAGTAGCTTATTGACAGCAGCCATACCAGCATTAGGGGCACTGAGGGCCTTATCCTGACCCCCAATTCACAATGGGTCCCTTACTACTAAATGTTTTGTCCTTCTATAGTTCTAGCCCCGGCTCTGTTACTTTTTATATAGAATACTGAAGGGAAGGGCCTTGTCTGTGCAAGAGGGTGAAAGGTGCTGGCCCCCCTCAGCTGTCCTGGATAACAAGGGAGGGCTAAAGACAGCGGTACAAAGACCCAGTCGGGGTGGCAGCTTTAGGGCAGTTCTCACCCCTGTCAGGCAGAATCCCCGGACCAGCAGCAGAGACAGCCAATCAGAGCCGGCCCTTCTGCTGGCCCTGCAACGCTCCTCCCCTCTGGCAAGGGGCGCAACCGAGGTGCAGAGCTTTCCCAGGCGATTGCAAGCCAGGCACAGAAGCATGTGAGGTAGCCCCGCCTCATTTCCAGCTGCATCACCACTCGCTCACCTCTTCGCACCACCCACTGCGTCTCAGTAGCTCTCATGGCTGTTTTTTTTCTTCAAACGGCTGCGGCACACCTGTGAGTGTGTTCCGCAGAACACAGTTTAAGAAACAAGGGTGTAGACATACCCTTTAGGGACAACACTATTTACCCCCTCTACTGTGAAAACTGACCATTTGTTCCTACCATTTATCTTTTAACCAGGTACTGATCCATGAGAGGACCTTTCCTCTAATTCCATGATTGCTTATTTAGTTTAAGAGACCTTTTCAGAGGCTTTCTGAAAGTCCAAGTACAGTATATACACAGGATCACTTGCCTACATTTGGTGAGCCCATCAAAGAACTCTAGTAGATTGGTGAGGCATAATTTCCCTTTACAAAAGCCATGTTAACACTTTCCCAACATAGCACATTCATCTCTGAATCTGATCATTCTGTTCTTTACTATAGTTTTATTTACTTTCTCTAGTATTGAAGACAGACTTATGACCTGTAATTATCCAGATCACCTCTGCAGCCTTTTTTAAATATTGGCATCACATTAGCTAGCTCCTCCAGTCGTGGGATATATAAGCTTCTTTAATAATAGGTTACATATTAAAGTCAGTAGTTCTGCATATTTGAGTTCCTTCAGAACTCTTGGGTGAATACCATCTGCTCCTGATGACTTCTTATTGTTACATTTATCACTTTATTCCAAAACATCTTCTACCAACAGCTCAATTTGGGCTAATTACTCAGATTTGTGACCTAAAAAGAACAGTTGAGGTTTGGGAATCTCCCTCACATCCTCTGCTGTGAAGATTAATGCAAAGAATTTATTTAGCTTCTCTGCAATGGACTTATATTCCTTGATGGCTCCTTTAGCACCCTGATCATCCGACGGCCCTACTGATTGCTTGGCAGGCTTCCTTATTCCAATGTACTTAAAAAACCTCAAACAAACTATGTGCTCCACAATGTATGTGGAACATTAACATATCAATGTGATTCAGATTACCTTAGTTTTTGAATTTTGTTGGATTTGATTAGACTTGGAGTTGCATTTCTATATTTTAGCTGATCCTGTCCATTTTTTAAAGGAGGAAAAAGAAAGCTAAAATAAGCCTTATATTGTCAACTATTCATTTGCAGAGCTTGTAGCAGGGTCATATTGAACATGTCAGGTTCAAAGAGACATTTAAAAAATACCTTTCTCGTAATTTCTTCAGTTCCACATCTCTTTCACTTATTAATTCTGAGATGCTAACAAAATAATTGTGTTCTAGGTTTAACAGAGTTTCAGAAGCTGGAGAATGTATCAGATCGTGGTATACATCTGCAAAATCTTCATCCCAGCTGGGTTCTTCAGGTCTTGCATGTTCTAATGTTGTCTAGAAAGTAATAACGTTGAAATATTTTAAAGTATACTATGGAAATTTTTCAATTAGCATATAGAACCAAAGTCACTTATAATACTGAGTGAATCTTGCTGGTCAGTTTGTGCCAACATACACTATTCAACTTATAAGATTTTCCTTTTCTCATTTTGGCTTTTCTCCCTTATCTATCTACTTTCATCTTTGACATTTTTTCATTCTCCTCCACTCCATCTTTCTGTTTTCTCTTCATTTCTATCCCAACCATTCTCTTCCCCAGCACATTAGGGTGGAAATAACAGAACAGGGACTGCTTATCCTCCAAATATGTATTAACTGATAGCACTACATAACATTCTATACCTGAAAGGGAGTTAAAATAAAAATTATTTATCATCTCAAACCAGTGAGAACACTTCAGTAGCAGTTACACTCTTTAAAGATGGGAAGAATTTAGCCCTGAGAGCTTCATTCTGCAAACTTGTAGGCCTCCAGGCCAATGATCAAGTTAAGCAACTTCAGCTATGTGAATAACGTAGTTGAAGTTGACATACTTGCATATGCTTACTGTGGTGTCTTCACTCTGGTAAGTCAACAACTGACTCTCTCCCATCAACTCCAACTACACTTGTCATTCCAATTGAGTACCAAGTCAACTGGCAAGCGCTTGGCAGTCAATTTATCACATCTGTACTAGATACGATAAATCAACTTCCTTTGGATCAATCGCTGCCCTTACAGTAGTAGTCTTTTCACAGATAGTTCCACTGACATTTCCTGAGGTTTTATCAGAATAGCCAAATTATCATCACATGGGTTGCTCAGTAATTGAATTTCAGTGTAATTTCTAATGCTGCCTAAATGCAGGAAACTCCTGGAAATTCATATTTCACAGATTCTGACTCACCTCTGTATAAGCTTTAGCCCAAGCATTTGCCAACTGGTGCATGTCTACTTCTCCTGATTTCACAGCTTCCAGGGCCACCTCTGCTTCTCTATCATGATCTTTTATGGTTTCACCCTCTATGAACTGACTAAGAGATTGTTTTAAGTCTATTGTAATAGAGAAAAGAATGTGCCATCAACAAGCGTTTACTATGAATAAAGGAAATTTCCAACAACTGCATGAATATATACTTTCAAACAACTGAAGTTTACTTGACCGCACTTCTTCCTCATATTGACCGCACTTCTCCCTCATACATGAATATGCAGTCAAACCATAAAAACAGCCAAATATTATTAACATTTCTTTTAACACCCTTTTGCTTAGTCTGTGACAGCACATCAATACACATAACACTGATAATTTACAAACCAATTCTTACCATTTTCTATGAAGCATGGTAAATCATGTAGGAGCATTAGGTGTCCATGCAAGTGGCTGGCATTCTCTTGCACAGGAAATCTGAGAGGTACTGTAAGCACGAAGCACTGATTTCCAGCATTGAAAGTATACAAAAACTCTCTCTCTCTAGTGTAGGTATTTCCTTTACTGGCCTTCATCTTTTTTTGGTTGATTTTCTGCATAATCAGCAATACAGCAGGTTGTATATTTTAAAAACAGGTAGTCCTGTGGCACCTTAGAGATTAACACATTTCTATGTATCTAGATCTATATAATAAATAGACAGACAGACTTGCTTTGCTTGCCAACCCCCCCTCAGATGGCTTGTGGCCAGAGAGTATGAGAGCTACACTCACCAACCCCCCCTCTCTGGTGGCTTTCACAGCCAGAGAGCATGATGACAGGTCATTCTGTCACCTGGCAGGAAAAACTTGAGAGAGTATCATGAACTTTCGTGGGCAAAAACCAACTTCTTCAGTTGTATCTTTTATACATTCACATAGTCCAAAAGTTAACAAAATAAAATACAAAACATGATTTTGGCAGTAATTAAAATATTACCCCTGACATAGTTTAATTCATTATACCAATGGGACAGCACTCTCCTAATCAGCATAGCACACCCTCATCATGTGAGCTACAGTGGCGCATCAGTGTGGTGCATGCGTGTGGAGGTGCCCTGAGACTCCTCAGATCACATTTAGGTACTTAAATAAGTGGTTTGCCTTTTAAAAGTGCTGGGCACTAGGGATGTAAAATCTCACTGAAAATGTTAACCAGTTAAACTCTTGTTCAACAGAGTAACTGGCACACTGCATCACACGCTGCAGGCGGGGGGAGGGAAGCTGCTCCAGCAGGGGTCAGGGGACAAGCCCAGCCCTGCCGCCGGTGGGACCCGAGTCCCTAAGGGCTTGGGGGGAGAAGTGGGATGAGCGGGCCGGCGGCCACAGCAGGGGTCCGCTCCGCCCCTCACTCGCTGGCAGCGGGGGCAGCGTGGGAATGGGGCCCCGGTTTGCTCCGCTCTGCTGGGGCGCTGCTCAGTGGAGCAGGGGGAGGGCTT